GATAGCTTGTGCTAACAGGTCGGTTGCCGTGTTCCTCCCTTAAGTCAATGTGACCTGACCTGACTAGGTTGGGTGCATTGGCTTAAGCCGGTAGGGACTTGGACCTGCCTCGCATGGGCCAGTAGGCCTTCTGCAGTGTTCCTTCGTTCTTATGTTCTTATGTTCTTAATGGTTTGTTCACAGTACGGGAAGGATTTTAGCGTCCGGCGTGGGCGTGGCAAGGCTGGTGATGGAGCCAGCGACACGGGCTGACACAGGTGTTTATTTATGTCACGCCCGAAACCTAGTGGCGTCGGCACCACCAGCAAAGGCCTATCTGGTGGTCTCATGTGAGTACGAAAGACAGAAATTTTTGGTCCAAAAGCACTGATGGTAATATAATGGGTGTACTCAATCTCCTGCGACATTTTATAATATATTTCACAGCTAACCGCCTACAAACAAAGACGTCTTTTCAGTTACATCTCTAACTAGCGGGATAGTGGTGAACAGTTCCACCCAGGGCAGTGTAACGTATTCATCTCTGTATAGATATTGTAGGCATTCGACCTCCATGATGCTTGCGCTGCTGCTGTACTACTTAAAACAATATATTGACTTTGGTGGTTATTCTTATTATTATAGAACTTTTAATGTAGAAATTTCAGTTGCACCATAAGGATTACCAAATGTAATATTGGAACTACTGGAACTACTATCTTCTTCAATGGATCAAACCCAATTACTTTCCCTTTCTCAAGGTACTCTGTGATTCTTACGGGTCATAGAGTGCCTTATGGGTTTTCTGTTTCCCCGTCCATATGACAAAGCAATGTAAGTACCATTCGGAGGAAGGTATCTTCTGATTCTTGTCCCTAGATGGAGTGACCGCAGTTGAGTACCAAGAAGAAGTGTCTTGGGCGGCCGTGGGCGGCAGCGGGCAGCTGATGTGTCAGGTGCGGGCCGCTCCTCCTCCCACCTTCGTCTGGAGCAGTCAGAGTGGACTCATCCTCCTCAACAGTGACAAGTTCAAAATCCATGAACCTGAGGTGAGTCCGAAATGGTGAGTGGCGAATCTTGTAGAGTGTTGATTCTTCCTGAGTGGCCAATCTTGTAGAGATTTTATTCTTTGTGAGTGGCGAATCTTGTAGAGTGTTGATTTTTCGTGGGTGACCAACCTTGCATAGTGCTGATTCTTCGTCAGCGACCAATCACATAAAGTGTTGATTCTTCGTGCGTGGCGAATCATCAAGAGTTTTGTTTTTCTGTATGTAGCCAAACTTGTAGACTGGTGATTCTTCGTAATTAGAAAATCTTGTTGAATGATGAATCATCGTGAATGGCGAATCTTACGTAATGGAGACTCCTAGTGATTTGGCGAATTGTGACTCTTGTAGAGTGGCGATTCCTTGTGAGTGGCCAATCTAGAAGACTTTTGATTGTTCATGACTGGAGAATCTTATAGACTGGTGATTTCAAAGACTGGTGGTTCTTCGTAGTCAACGAATCTTACTGGCTGGTAACTGGTAAGTCTTAGTGAGCGGCGCATTCCGGTGACTGCTCGACCCTAGTACCTAACGAATCATAACAAACCAAGAATCATAATGCCCAGAGTCCCATTAAATGTTCAGATGATGTAACGAATGTGTTCTGAGGGGTGGTAGTTCCCTATTTTTAGGGTGAATTCTAGTGATTGATGATTACGTATTTTTTTGTGAATGCTTGTGACTTTTAGTTTTGGTGACTTGTGGCGACTGGTGATCTTATGATTTTAGTTGAATACTGGTCATTTCTGAGGCTATAATCCTGTTGTTAGTGATGATTCTCCTTAGTGATGATCCTTGTTAGTGATGATCCTTGTTAGTGATGATTCTTGTTATTGATGATCCTTGTTAGTAATGATCCTTGTTAGTGATGATTCTTGTAAGTGATGATCCTTGTTAGTGATGATCCTTGTTAGTGATGATTCTCCTTAGGGATCATCGTTGTTGGTGATGATTCTTGCAATTCTTGAAATTCTTGTTGATCGATGAAGTTTCCTGTTATGTGAATCAGGAATCCTAGTTTCAAGTGAATCTTTGTGCCTGGTTTAACCTTGTATCATTACCTGGAGTGTTAGTGGACCGAGTGGACCCCTCAGAGAAGGACGACTGGAAGGGGGGGAATTTAGAAGCCTGGTTATTGAGAATAACATTTCTCGCCATTGGCTGACGGAGGATCGAGCCTTTCACACTCCTTGCACTAAATGACCCGTAAGGGTTTAGCGCTTCACGTAAATAATTACAACGTGTAAACTCACGAGAGGTCTCAGGTATTTCATTTTTTTTTTCATTACTAATACGAGTTCCATAATACTGTGAAATTTAGACAGGTACTGAACACTTAAGATGTGTATTACGAGACATCTCGCCCGCTGCGGAATTTGTGTTCATATATTGATAAAGCCTCTAGCAGTCAAAACGTCTCCTAATAAAACGTCCTAAGTCGATGCATAGTTGAAATGCCGACAGTTTGCGAAATGACACAAATGCACTGGAGTCTAAAATGTACATTGTTTCCCCTAAACGTCATTGGCTATGCACTTGATAAATGCCAATGTTGGGCGAAATGACGAAACATCTTGTAAAACGTCCTAAGTGGATACAGTGGCAAAATGCCGACAATTTCTGAAAAGTCACGAGTGCACTGGAGTCCAAGGTGTACATTGTTTCTCTCCAACATTTGACTATGCACTTGATAAAGGCCAACGTTGAGTAAAACGCTGTACAAATGAAGTGTTCCACTACATTTGTGTCCTCACCAAAATGTCCCAACGCTTACCTATGTGTGCTTACTCAGTATTTCTCTCCCTAGTGAATATTTCTTACGCTGTTCGTCTCTCTCCTTTTCACTGGCGTGTTCTCTGCTGCTATCACCAGCTGCTGGACGGACTGCTGCTGTGGGCCTCCACGTTAGAAGTTAGAAACGTTGCACCTGAGGACTACACCAGTTACAGATGCACTGCTCATAACTCTCTAGGCGCCCATACCGTCCTGCTCACTCTCAAGCCACCCGCACGCCCACACCCGCCCACAAACTTCTCCGTTAGTGTCATAAGCAATTTAATTTTCAGTTTATAATTTGGAAAATAGAAGAAATAGGAAAAAAAATATTGTAGATTAGATGTGTTTGATATTATTGTTGTCTGCCTCAAGATAATTTTAATAACAACTGCTACCATTTACCAGTACATTAACATATTCGTCTCCTTCACAATTACATTATCATGTGTCCCTTCACCAGTACATAAATATCTGCTTTCTCCTACCACATAGTACATTAACATCTTCGTCCCTCCACCAGTAAACAAACATCTGCCTCCCTCACCCAGTACACTAACATATGCCTCACTCCACCAGTACACTTAACACCTGCCTCCCTCCACCAGCAGGTGAGCAAGGTGACGGGAGGGGAGGTGTGGCTCACCTGGTCGCCCAGCCTGGATGGTGGCGCCCCTAGCGGCTACACTCTCAAGTACAAATCCGCAAATGCCATTGAATATAAGGTATGTGTTGAGTGTTATCTTAATTCTGCTTACGCTGCTGAGCAAGTCAGCGTTTACTTCTGAGCGAATAAGTAAAACTTGCGATTTTGCCTTAAATAGCAATGCTCTTCTTGCCGAATAAGGCAGGAGAAAATTGTGTATGCAATAATTTCGCAAACATCATTCTGAACCTAACGAGAAAAATGTATCTCATTGTGTTAGTTTATTATTAAATTACTGTAAAATTATCTAAAATATGTTTAGTTGGATTAGGCTAAATTTAAATTGCGTTTGTTATAATAAGGTTAGGTAAGTTTACTAAGATTCTTTAGGTACAAAATTATTAATTTTTACATTAACATAAATGACAAAAATTCATCTTTAAAAGTATAAGAGAAAATTTTAGAAAGGACTTAATTTTAAATGAGTTCTTGCTAATTGACCAGTTTTACCTATTCAGCACGACACACACACACACACACACACACACACACGTATATATATATATATATATTATATATATATATATATATATATATATATATATATATATATATATATATTCTATATTCTTATTTTTCTATTGTAACGTAGAAGTGTCAGGTGGAGGTGCGAGGTCAGCCAGGGTGTCAGGACTATCAGCAGCAACAGAGTACACAGCAGCCATCCAGGCCAGCAACGACCACGGCAGATCACACTTCGTCTCCCTCTCCTTCTTTACTTTACTTGGTAAGTCTTCGCCATACCCACCATCTTTCTTCTCCTGAATCACCATCTTTGTCCTCCTGACAGAGATTGTAATTTAGGAGATATTTAGAAATGTAGTAAGAGTAGTAGTAAATGTAGTACAGAGTAAATACTCAGAATTAGCATTCCATTTTGTAGCTGCCAATAATCCTCATGAATATGTAATTAGTAGTTATACAACAACCTAAATTTTCAGTAATATAATCTAAAATGTACAGAAATCATAGTGTTGAAAATTCATTCTATTTTCTGGCGACGTAAGCTTTTAAATCACAAAGTTAAACTGATGCATAAACAAGCTGAATTAAAACAAAACTCGCTGGACTTTCAAGGGGCTTTTAGTGGAATAAATGTGTCTCGTGGGGCAACAAATTCATGTAACTGTCTTTGCGTGAAGCAAATGCAAACTAGTGTGTAAAATTTCAAGGATGTACGAGCACAGTGCATTGGTAGACACTAAGCAGTGGTATACTCTGGGTCATTACCACATTATTATTATTATTATTACTATTATTATTATTATTAGTAGTAGTAGTAGTAGCAGTAGTAGTAGTACTAGTAGAAGTTACAGTAGTAGTTTAACATATTATTATTATTTTTAAATGAAAGGAATAATTACGGACTGGAAGCTGTTATATTTTCGTACTTGTTGTAAAATATAATTTATCCAGAATGGAATATGAATCACTTGTAATAAGCAATGAGGCACTCGTAACAGATCCTTTATTGAATTCATAATAGACTGTGAAGTATTCCTAATAGATCGTGCATTAAACTCATAGACCAAGAATCACTTGTAACTGATCGTAAATCAAAAAAAATTATACATAATAGATTTTAAATACTCATAATGGACCACTTATCACAATAATAGACCATGCATCACACTAATAATAGACCATACATCACACTAATAATAGACCATACATCACACTAATAATAGACCATACATCACACTAATATTAGACCATACATCACACTAATATTAGACCATACATCACACTAATAATAGACCATACATCACACTAATAAAAGACCATACATCACACTAATATTAGACCATACATCACACTAATATTAGACCATACATCACACTAATAATAGACCATACATCACACTAATAATAGACCACTAATAATAGACCATGCATCACACTAATAATAGACCATACATCACACTAATAATAGACCATACATCACACTAATAATAGACCATACATCACACTAATAATAGACCAAGCACTGCATCCGTAAGAGTCGCATCATCACTATACAGTACAATACCGTAGAATATTTGCTAACCGCATGGCCATAATTATGTAGCAAGTCAGTGGACCCGCGTCAGGAAACACTTCTCCTATTTCCTGACATACCTTACCTAACCTAAAGTCAGTAAGTTATTTGTGTTGAGGTACTAAAGCACATGATCTAGTGATCTTCTTTAAGCATTTGCAGACTCTTGATATTAAGCCCAGAGGTCTATAATTTTCCGCTGACGACATTCTTCCCTTCAGCTAAACTGAGTAAACTCATTTTCTTCATTTCCATTGACTGAATACTTTCCAGTTGACAGTTATTTTTTAATGTTATGACGGATAAAGCTTAATCTGTTTTGCATGTCTTTCGATAAATAGGTACAGTATCCGCTTATAACGAATATATAAATATTACGATTGTGTTCTACGCTGTTATTTGGTCTCTCTTTTTTTCACTCTTCCAGTAGCAATTTCTCGTACATTTTGCCTGGTATACTTAACAAATTTATATTTCATTGATGTTGTTATATTAACACAATCCAGATAATTTTTAGAACTCTTCTGGAAATGTAAAATATTAAAATGGTCATTATGAGTTATTAGCGCTGAAAAACTTGTTTCTTCTAGTGTGTCAAGCTGATATTTAAGCATTTCTTTCCAGAGATTGCCATGATATAATTCATAAATCCCATAATCAGCGGATCATATCCTACATACAAGGTTTCGGAATTTTTTTGTTCGTTGTTCCTACGCAGGCAAGAGCGACGGACCTACCAGTCTGCAGGGTCTGGCGGTGGCCACGAGCGGGCTGCCGGGAGGAAATGATGAGGAGAGTCCTGAGGGAGGCGGTGACGAGGGTAACACCAGCCAGGGCTCCTCCAGGGTACCTCGTCTTATTCTGCTTATCATGACGCTGACAGGGGCAGCTCTTCTCGTCCTCAACATCTCCATCATCGCCTGCTTCGTGCGTCGCCGCGCTGTTAACAGACAGCCATCTAGTAAGTGCTGACTTTTGCCTATGATATGGTTTTATCATCTGATCATTTAGTGTATTATTATTATTATTATTATTATTATTGTTATATAAAGTTTTACAACTGTATCTCCTGTGAAACAACAGTGACATCGTCCTCCAAGAGCTCTGCTCTGGGATCCAGCGGAGCCACACCAGTGCCCACTCCAGCAAACTCCAACCATTTACTCCCACTCTCAACTATGTCTTCGAACAACTTTTCTAACATTCCAACAGGATATCAGGTAGGTGTCTGCCTCAAGACAAAGGCTTTCAACATTTATGGTGAAGTCATTAGGAACTCAGACTCCTCATTACTGTGATCTCTAATGTACTTCTAAAATTTATACTTATTAAGCTAATTCTGCTCTCATACTATATACACTTATCAACTCGAACTCGTGTAATGATGCCTCTAATTGGCATTGTTACCTCAAAAATCTATACGAAAGACAAAAATGATTAATGAATAGTCTTGATAACCTAAAGTTCTATAGACTAGACAGTCGCACGCAAACCTGAATTTCGTATTATCTCCCTAATATGTCCAATGAATTTAAATTCAAGGACCATGCATCTCAGTTGATCACTTACGTTGCGTAAGATCATTAGTGAACCTTCAAACCAGACAATGATGCAAGGAGCGCACTGTCAACAATGTATCAGTGAGAGCTATTTTGTTCACCTCCTTTATGCTCTGGCTTCATGAGCGAGAATATACTCAGTGCACCTGCTCTGATTATGTATTCCTTATGCATCACTGCAAGCTTCTGAAGAAGCGTTAACTGCAACATGAAAGACCTAGAGTTCTTGTGTAGAACAGAGGGTGTATGTGTGGGTTATGACTGATTAGGTTAGTGATCCAGTCAAACCATTAGTGGAGTTCAGTCCAGAAACCTGCCATCCCATTTCTAGATAACTGAATTCTTACCTCTAATTCACACGGCAGTACAGGAAGCCAGTTGCAGGTGTAGCTGAATCTTTGGCGAGATGGAGGTTTGTGGTAAGGCCCCTCACACTAGTCAACCCACACAACGTACAAGAAATGCGCATTTTATGATACTGTTAATGTGTATTTACTGTCGTGGAGTGTGGAGGTCTATATCTCTCCAGCAAGTTACCTGTACGAGTCACAGTCTGCAACCGTTTGGTAACAGCGAGGAAGCAGGTTTTTGCTGTGAAATGTTATCAAATTCGCGGTGTAATGTGGTACCGATTGAGAAACCTATTCGGCACCACACACACACACACACACACACACACACACACACACACACATCAACATTTCATGTTGATTTTCTTTCATTACTTTTCCACCCTCCACTTATCGTTCTTTATCTTCCCGCTTGTTCATATAAGTTTCTAGGTTTTCCAACTTCTGCCGGAGAATTTGGTTCTATCTTATGAACATCTACATTTGTTTCTAAATCATAACAACACTCCTGAAAGCTAATCTGGAAGCCTCAAAAAACAATAGCATTTCTTTCCTTTAAAATAAACTCAGTAAAACAAACTTCACCGAGTAGAGAATTTCAGTGTTGTAAACTTTATTTTATGGCATTTGATCGTCCATACATAGTACAATCCTCTCAGCCCAGATAAAAACCGTCAATATGACTTGTGGAAGTAAAGCGGAGAGACTGGTTATGCCAGGTGGAGAATGGCATCATATATTGCCAGTGTTGAGGACGCCATCCCTCCCAAGTGGACCATGGCAGCATAGGTTGTTAAGGAACTCGATAGTTTGCCAGTGTAGAGGACCCACCATCCCTCAAAAATGGACCATGGCAGCATAGGTTGTTAAAGGAACTGGATAGTTTGCCAGTGTAGAGGACCCCCCATCCCTCCCAAGTGGTCCATGGCAGCATAGGTTGTTAAGGGAACTCGTTAGTTTGCCAGTGTAGAGGACGCCATCCCTCCCAAGTTGATCATGGCAGCATAGGTTGTTAAGGGAACTCGATAGTTTGCCAGTGTAGAGGACGCCATCCCTCCTGATAAGTCGACAAACAACGGTAGAGAGGACTGGTGAAAATTACGCAGAGCAAATATTCCGTTGAGCCTCGTCAGTTGGGTCAACAGTCTGGCCAACCTTGCCAACGCTTCCTCCTCACACCACCTGCCCACATCCACCTTCATTTTCTTTCCTTTCTTTAACTATTAACACGATATACAAATTTATGCTATACTTTAATATACACGTATGCATACGAATTTTGATTAAAACATATGATATATCGCTTTACATAATAAAAGAAGCATATTCTTAACACATATTCTTGAAATAAGAGCACAAAAAAGTGATACATTAATGTGCAATAAACCACAGTAGATGGTAAATGAATTACAAGCGCTTTCGTCGTCTCTCAATTACATTCTCATGGACTTTGAGAATGTGTTTGAGTTATTACGAAAGCGCTGGAAAATTGTTTACATACTTCCCTCGACATAATTTCAATAAATTTAAGTTTTCAACCTAATTCAAGGTATATTTTGACACATTTTTTTACAGCACGATGTGATAAGAATTTCTTCTAGAATCTTCTCAAAGCAGTTGTACGAAAGCTTTCGAATCTTAAAATAGATTACCTAGCAACAGGCTGTATATCTGAGAGAGAAAGAGAGAGAGAGAGAGAGAGAGAGAGAGAGAGAGAGAGAGAGAGAGAGAGAGAGAGAGAGAGAGAGAGAGAGAGAGAGAGAGAGAGAGAGAGAGAGAGAGAAAGAGAGAGAGGAACGGAAAGGAGAGAGAGTAAAATCAATCAATGAAGTCCTACATTTGACCTAAATGTGCAAAAAGTTTCTCAAAAACACTTTAAACATCATGAATAATTTTAAAAGAACATGTGCCATGCCCCGCTTGAGTATTACATTAGTGCTAAGCTTAAAACACAGTCACTTCTGGGTGTTACAGTAGAGAAAACACTGCAACATGTGAGTGTTACAGTGACATGAAGCTCTGAATACGTCACTTCTGAACGCTACTATAGAGTTTTGTTTTGACTACCATAATAAACCATACCACGGGCGGGTTAGAACCCGCGATCAGTGAGTCGACGCGTTAGCCCAGTGGCTAACGCGTCCACCTGGAGTTTTAAGACTGATCGCGGGTTCTAACCCCGCCCGTGGTATTGTTCGTTTGCAATCGTGTCATTACGATTTGGTGAGTCATGTCGACTACCATAATATGTAAATGATAGTGTAATGCGAGGCTTTACACTCTGTCACTTTGTAGAGCTGCAGCGCTCTATGTAATACACACTGATCGCCTTTTTTTTCTTGAAGAGGGATCCATTCATGCTGGTGATGGGGCTCTTAAGCCAAGGAACTGGAGCTATTCCCAGCTTCCTAACTGATCCGTGGCTGCATGTGAAATAATTTAGCAGTCAGCTGTACTGGATATTACAAAATCTACTTCCTACTAAACAGCTCTTGACTAGAATGGAATTGTTTTAATACCTATACTTCTGAGTGTTGCGGTAGTGAGGCGTTCCGATGCCCATCGTGTCTGAGTGAAGATTCAACGAGGTGTTATCAATGATTCAACGAGGTGTCATCAATGATTCAACGAGGTGTCATAAATGATTCAACGAGGTGTCATCAATGATTCAAAGAGGTGTTATCAATGAATCAGGTTCCCGTTCATGTGTGATTCTCATAAGTCGTTGCTACTCACATTTACTCTACTCTCTTTTTTTTTTTGAGATAACCATTTCATCGATAATTATAACCATGTTAATTGGTAATTAATAATTTTTTTGTCTGTCAGTAGCTTTTACATAGAGAAAGTGACTTGTTTCAAATAGTTTTCATTAGCTCTATTTATTTTACAACTTAAGCTTCACGTTCCATTCATTAACTGTACACTAATTCTATTATATCATGTTTCTCCTCAGACGAAGCTGGAAGAGAGTGAGATGATGACTCTAGCCACAAGTGACATCTCCATCAGCTCCAACACCCACATGATGCCTCGTCACAACGGAGGCATCATTACTACCCAGAGCACCTTGTTAGTCCTCAACAACACCGCTCCCAAGACCACTCAAGCTGCTGCAGCTGGCCCCTCACAGCAGTGGACCGAAGGGGAGTCCTCATCGAGCGGAAGTGTGTCACCTGACGAAGGGGGACTATCCCAGAGACAACACGATCTGGTGAATTTCACAACCGAGCCCGACGTCTGTTCCGTGGGCTCAAGCTTCTATGACAACACACTGCAGGAGGTCCACCGCAGAAGGAGCTCTGATACATACCCAGCAGACGACCAGTACTCCCTGTGCTCAAGTCGAAGCAACAACTCTAGAGTGTATGCCCAAGGATACCTCCGTCCCCTGTCTTCTCTAGGGGGACTACAGCAGCAACAGGCTACTCCACAGCTTATCCAAGACACCCTTCACGCCATCCCACGTTTATCACCTGGGCAACAGCGTCTGGCGCAGCAAAACCTGCCTGAATATTCGAGTCTAAATCCATCTGGGCTTTACAGCCTCAGAACTGAGAACCCAGACTCCAAACACAGTCTGATATCATTCACAGCAGGTATGAACACTATTTTTTTTTCTATTAACTGTACGTGTTGTAATGAATTTCATATGAAAGCTATAATTTTCAGGTTTATTTATTAACTGCATTACAAGACTTAATTTAAAATTAAACCTTATTAATCCACATTATGGAAGGTCGACACGCTGCATAGTCACTGGCATTCTGGTAATAAAAATATATTATTTTGCTTTTAGGTATCGTGTCTGTGACGCGATTAACGGATGAAAGATGGTGCTTCCCCGCTCTATGCACTGATAAAAATAAAAATTGTGGCAGAATGGATACCTTCACTAGAGTAACAACGTTTTGCTTGGAGACCACTTAGAGAAACTTGGTCTCCAAGGGAAACTTTGTTCTACTGATGATATCTGTTCTGATACGTAATGAAGTTTTTATCAGTTTTTGGGGTTTTCCAACCTTTGTCCCAACTCCTTGGGCCGAATTACCCATGCATGTGCAACACTTCGCATTACCAATGCAAATTCTTATAATTTCCCTAATTTGGTTTGTGTTGTCAGTTCCCTAATACATTTTCTGTGAGAAAGATAGAAGTCAAAATAGATTTGTTTTTACACACGAAATTACATGATGTGATTTTTTTCAGCCGTAGTATTTTTTTGCTGGTTGATTTGTCAGAATAAATAGGCTGGTCCGATTTATTCTTATAAGCGGACCCGTTCAGTGTTGATGACTGTGGCCGGGGTAGCTGATGGTCATGTGTTGGGAAAGGCTAACCCGTCCTTGATTTAATAATCTTAATGTTGTCTGAAGACCAAGACAGAAGTTGAAGAACAAATGTTTGCCTGGACCACATATCGCCACTCAAGAGAGGTTTCTTGATACGGGTGAGGGGCTCATGATACGAGGAATTGACTCTATCTTCTCCTGGGATCAAACATGATTGTCACTCATTTTCCCCAGGAGCTGGGAGCCAATTCGGGGTACATTCTTTTACCCTAAATATAACAGTAGAAATCTAAGTAGAGCGAAACGTTGACCCAGCAAAAGCCTGTCCCCCAATATGTCATTATTTTCGCTCCTGGAGAGCGAAACGTTGCCACAATAAAATGTCATATCAATTGCATCTGTGTCCATTTATCTAACATTTTGTCAGTAATTCTACTACTTTCTAAGTTTTTTGGTAAGACGTCGTTTCAGCCAACAAAAAGTTGCCGCAATTCAAATCGTCTGGAAAAACTGCTGTACAGAAATCTTAGCGTCACAGTGACCAGCTATGTGGGCTCTGGGAGGGGTATCGTGGCCACTGGTAGGGGCATCATGGGCCCTGGAAAGGGCATCGTGGGCCTTGGGAGGGGCATCATGGGCCCTGGGAGGGGCATCGTGGGCCCTGGGAGGGCTACCGTGACCTGAATGTGTAAATACCCCCTTCAGGTATGGAGTATGGTAAGTAGGTGTCTGCCAATGTTGCGGCACAGGTGTAGTCCCAGGCAATCTGTTTACCATCCTCCCAGGGTAGCATAGTGGCTCCATCACGACGATTTTGACTTCCATCAGACCTCAGTGTTTGGGGTTCCCGTTGAGGTGGGCAACGGGCTGTGGCGAGGCTTCTCTTTATGATGTCATTGACCTCCTCATGTCTAGCATGAGGACACACGAGACAATGAAGTCCGAATTCATCCGCCGTCGCCCTGCCGCAAATACACCTATGTTCGGTGAGTATAGGGACGGCTAGGCGAAGAGCAACACCAATGCGAATGGCTGTGGGTCGATTCGAATGCCCAGGGAGGAATTGGGAACAGCTAGAAGAAAATCTCCTGAGTGTGGTGCCTTCACCGCTAGGAGACGAGCTTTGTCCTTTCCTGAAGCGTTGGTGAGCATTGTGTTGGCGATTTTTTCCATGAATATATATATATATATATATATATATATATATATATATATATATATATATATATATATATATATATACATATATATATATACATACAGTAACGGTGACTATTTTCATGTACTATAAACATGAACAATCGCTGTCTATTTGGATATTTTTTTAACTGTATTAGCAACAACAACGACTCCATGTAAAGGAGTAACAGCAGCAATAGAGCCTGTAACGCTGTCTGTATCACTGTTTTAGCAGCAACAGAGGCTGTATCGTTGTGGTATCGGCAACGGTGACTGCCTGTATGATTAAATTAATTCCAACAGTAGCTTCCAGTTTCACTGTATCAACGGTAATAGTGTCTGCTCCCACCATCAGTCTCTCAGGAGTAAAAAAAATGGCCATAAATTAAGACTGACATTACGTTCCTGGGTTACTGATCCTGGCATTATTCCCGAATTTCCACTGGTTACGTTCTTGCCATTGTGAATCACCAGTTCTTTATCGATGTGTGAAAATGAGATATATTTAAAGAGAAGAAGTGAGTCTTAAGTTGATTTTGACGTCTCTATCTGGAAACTTCTCTTTGGCAGCATCTATCTAGGAAGCCTGTGTGGAAACTTTCTTCCATAAATTAATTTGTAAACATCCGGAAAGCCTGTCTGAGAAGCCTATCGGGAACCCTCTCTTGGAAGTCTAATTCGAAACATTATTCGAGAAGCCGGTCTAGAATGTCTATCTGGGACGTTTATCTAGGAAGCCAATCTGGTAACCCTATCTGAGCCTGTCTGGGAAGACTATTTGGTATACTTTTCTGGAAAACTTATATGGGGACCCTCCCTTGAATCCTGTGTGGAAATCTCTAGAAATCCTCTCTGGGAACCTACCAAGAAACCTTATCTAGAAACCTTCTATTGAAACCTTGTCTGGAAACTTTCTGGAAACCATTTTTTGAAGCCCTGTCTGCAAACATCTATAAACACTGTCTGGAAAACTTATCTGGGTTATCAGATAGGAAATCCCCTTTGGAAACCTCTGGTAACCCTATTCTATGTTATGACAAAGATTTGCTCTATGAGGTAATCAGTTTTATCCGTGGAAAGGGAGTGAAGCTCCAGTTCCTTGCAACAGGAGCTCTCGGAAGGGAATCCAATATGTGTAAAGAGGATTTAACTTTCTGAATTCAGATTTATAACCACAAACTAATGTAAAAGAAATTAATGCATCTCGTTAGTGAATATTTCAGATAAGAAAATTGTTTTGCGATAGTCATTGTAGTAGCAGTAGTAATTGTAATAGACGTAAGAATAACAATTACAGTTGAAACAGTAGAAGTATAAAATGCAGTAATCGTAGGTGAGGTAGTAGTAATTACAGTAGCAATTGTAATATTAGTAATACTAATTTAATTGCAACAGTAGCTCAAGTTACTGTAGTTTGAGTAGTACCTGTATTAATTTTAGTAGTAGTTGCAACGATATTAGTAGTAGATGGAATTTTAACAATAGGAGCAGTAACTGTAATAATAATAGTATTAGTGTTAACAGTAGTAGTAATAGCAGTATTAGTAGCTTTAGTGGTAGAATTAGTAGAGGTAGAATAGTGGTAGTAGTATTAACATAAGCAACAGTTTTGTTAGTAATCATAATATTAGTAATAGTAATGGCACGTAATCACATTATTATTATTATTATTATTATTATTATTATTATTATTATTATTATTATTATTATTATTATTATTATTATTATTATTATGATTGAAATAGTTCATGCCCGTGGAAAAACATTTGGATAGAAGGCCATTACAGGTACGGCACCGATGGCAGCAAATTTAAAAAAATAGTAACTTTGTTTTCATGAGGTCTATTGTTTGACAATCTTTTTAACTGTGTTGACTTGAGTCTAACATTTGTTCAGTGTTTTAGTGGGAGGAAAATGTTATGGTACATAGAGAATGAATGAGAACTGATTTTCTGAGGCTTAGTTTATTTTCTTGTATTAGAGTATTTCCATAATCCTCCTCAGTTGTACAAAACAATGCATTTCAAAGATGCTATGGCAGATTTGCATTGTTCTCCACACCCGCTCATTGTAACTTTTACAGAGTAATAGATCTCAACAGCTTTGGGGTGCTTCCATCTCCCATCTTGATGAGATGGTAGATCAGATATTGACACTATCAGATAGTACCAGCACTCGTCTGTGTATGAAACCTCCTTTACGTGCTTAATCAATGCTACATAAGTTGGGGGAATTCCGTGAAGAGTCCTACCGTTCTGGGTGTACATCTGCCTGAGGGACAAATTGAAGGACCGTGTGCCTGCTTGTGCAGTAGTATAACAATGCAAAATATTCAGTTTAAAGCTTCTTCGAGGGTTCTGTAGAGTCGGAAGACGTAATTAAGGCATATTAAGGCATAAAATGCGCTTGTTACATCAACATAAGAAAAATTAATGTTTCCCGTGTGCTTTTTGCAATCTTTTTGCCTCTGTCACCAACAAATGAATCGATATAGCATCGGAAAAATGTATGGAACATAGTCAAGGCCAACTTCTTTATCCTCTCGTCAGGTGAGTATGTCATGGTGTGAAATACCATGACATACTCACCTGAAACCTTCACTGACGACATTTCGCCCACACAATTGAATTTATCGTGTCACTTGATGAAACTTAGGCTGGCGAAACGTTATCAATATAGATTCCATATAACTGCATATGTCACCATATGTAACCTCTTTACCTTCTACATATCTGAAGTTCTTCATGGCACCGACTGTAACCCACAAATCAGAAATGCTGAGACGTTCAGCTTCTGCCACGGCCAGTACTAACATCTTTGTCAATTATGTATACCGACACCTTCATATACCATTGCTTCACGGCATCTGTTACGTGCAAATATACTTGGTAGTCGGACTCTTCATTCATACTTAGGTGGATTAAGACCAGACACCTCCTGGGGTTGAGTACACATAGCATTAATGTAACTTGTGCTCATTATTAGTTTGTCTGATCCATTGTCAATGACTTCGGAAGTCGTCACCGGGAAAGAGAAAAGGTCGACCTTGTTTTCAGTGATTCGAAGAAATTCGTGCCAGATGTCAGCAACTGTGGATGGCACAACACTTTTTAAACACTTGTGGATAATCAGAAAGTGTTTTTACAACCCCCAAGATCAAAACATATTAACAATAACTATTACATCAAGGATGGCAACTTATATCATTGGATATTCAACATTCTCTGGTATTGGAGCCAGGTTCGCCAAGCAGTCTCAATGCCGTGTCTCTCATCCCGTTGTCATAACTTCAGTGTCAGTATCTAAACGACTTTTAGCCATGGTCTTACAGCCAAATTTATTTTCACTTCAATACTTTTTGAAGCAAGTAGGCAATGGACATCTTAATAATTAACTCCCCAACACTTTTGTTCCAGTCTTTCGAAATGCACTCTGACGGAAGGTGCTACCTCGTTAAGATTCACAACCTTGTATACATTGGCCAGTGTCATTCTCATGGTATTAATATCAATATTCCATCACCGAAATGTAAGTAAGGAATACGAAAATTATCTCGTAAGTATACAATTAGAAGCAATGCAAAGTAGTGTGCAAGAAAATATTTCTTGTCATAATACAGCCAAAACCAAGTTGTTTTGATGGCAATATAATATACAATATCATATTCCTTTTAAAAATTTAATGGAACTATAGAGATACAGTTCAATTACAAAATAATTTCGAAGTGTTGGATATTCACATGATGTAAAACTTTAAAATAAACAGAGTAATTCAATAAGGAATAGTTAGTCATTTAATATGTGTAAATATTTTCTGCTTTTTTTTATCTATGCACATGATAAACCTGGGTACTAGTCTGATACACGATATCATCGCGGATGAATCTGAATGAGACTCTAGAACCAAATATATAAAAAATCATGTAAATTTATATGTAATTTCTGAATATCTGTTTAACTTGTAAATAGTCGTTTTGAAAAATTACCCATTTTCCTATAGGGAAAATGTGAGATGGCTGTATATAGAAAAATCTTATTTGGTTATATCTTAAATCTGTACGAAAGAGATTCTCCTCAAGAGGATTAGAGGATTGCCTTGATGATCTGAGAGCTCTTGATTCAAGGAATTAAACCTATCCATTCTTTCCTCAAGTCGAACTTTGCTGCTTACTATTTCCCCAGGCATTGTATGACTCAAATGGGCTTAGCACTCCCCCGATGATGGTAATAATAATAATAATAATAATAATAATAATAACAATAATAATAATAATAATAATAATAATAATAATAATAATAATAAAATATGAAACGCTGTGCTGTTATCGTAAAACTCTCCAAACTTTCCAATATTTCGCCTATTTTATTACATATTGTACATTACGAATACAGGTAAAGAATAGCCTGTGAGACCTGGTCGTAATGGGAATATGGAGCAAACAAAACTCAACAGTAGACTATAATGTATATTTGCCTTCACCAGATGATATATACAAGTATGTATAATATGTGCAGATAGAACAGTAGGTGTACACAACGGTGACAGATGGCAAAGCCAGACAGTGTGCACCATACTCAACCAGCAGCTAGGCAAGTCTGCCAATGCTTACTATAAGTGAACCACGTTGCTTCAGCTTTGGCAGGCTTGCCTGTGATTAGCCAATGAACCAAGGTACTGATTTAAAGACGGGTACGATATTGATCGGCCCTTAGCACCCGGTTCGCTGGTTGGGAGGCAGCCTATATGCGAGTGTGACATACGCAGAATAAACTGTAACATACTCCTTGCATGAAACACTGCATAAAATACCGAAAAGGTGAAGAACAAGACACACAGGAAAATATAAGATAACCAATAAGGGCGAAAGATTGATTACATCAGACTACCTCTCTAATTCGTCTACTTTGTTTTTCCACAAAGGCTGATATCTCCAGGAGTGTTAATTCATCTTTGCATAAGACTAATAATATTTGCAGCGCAGACGGTACGTGTAGCCACTGAATATTCTTAGTGCTTCTAATGTACCTTACTCATTAATCATTTCGCCAGTCTGTTGGGCAATAGTAATTATTATTATTATTATTATTATTATTATTATTATTATTATTATTATTATTATTATTATTAAGTTTAAAAATAAGGGCTAAACCAGTATGAGTCATAGAGTGCTATTCGCGAAAGCTGAAATTACTCTAAAATATTTTTAATAATTTTTAATTATCTGAGAGGACCTATATATATACCCTTTTGTATTACTGTTATTATTATTATTTCATTAGTAGTAGTAGTAGTAGTAGTAATAGTGGTGATGATAGTAGTAGTAGTAGTAGTAGTAGTCGTAGTCGTAGAAAAGAAGCTTTAGCAGCAGTAGTAGTAGTAGCTGTATTTTATTATTATTGTTATTAACACACTGGCCGATTCCCACCAAGGCAGGGTGGCCCGAAAAAGAAAAACTTTCACCATCATTCACTCCATCACTGTCTTGCCAGAAGGGTGCTTTACACTACAGTTTTTAAACTGCAACATTATTGGATATTTATGACAAAGGCAACAGTAATTACTTAAAAATAATAAATAGAAAAAGAAATATAAAAAAGATAAAAAATAAATAAACATAAGTATTAGCAACTTAAAACTATAAATTAATGGCAATTTATAGTGTAAAGTGGAAAATATTAAGCGAGTTTTGCAACGGATATTTTTCTAAGGCATTATGCTTTTAATGGATGATGATAATATTTTATCTTATTTAGGAACACGAAAGCATTTGAAACATGATATGATTAACTCTGAGACTTTAAAATTGATTGGTTATGACAGACACTGATTAATAAGTGGAATTTTAGATTAGGTTAGGATGGGGCAGGATTGGTTACAACACAGTTTATCTTTACCATAAAAGCACTAACAAAATCTAAAACAATTTGCACAACATAAAATTATCTCCATTATAAAATTCACATGATGATGTACATGATAAACTATAAATTTTCGCCAGACTCCGTGGAGCCCTTAAACTAAATATTGCACATAATTTCTGTACCTCGCGCAGATGATCTTGAATAATTGCCTTAATTTGCTTACACTGATGCAATTGTTTTTTTTTTTTCTAAGGAGGAGCAGGCAGCAGCACCCCGCCAGGGTATTCCACCTTGGGCCCTCGTCAGCGTCGAACAAAGCCAACAAGCTTCAGTGCAATTCAGCGTCGCACTCGCTCGGTCCGCGACACTCTGCCCGCCTCCAGTCACTACGATAACCTTGACCTGGCTTCTCGCCTCCAACAGGAAGGTCTTCAATATGAAATGGGTAGCTTTAGCATACAGGGCCACGCACACCAACACGAGAACAGTGGATCGTCTGGTTACAGCAGCAGTCCTCACCAAGAAGTCAGGAGGAGCTTGACTTCCAATTCACGACTGTTTGCTGGAGAGACTACAGACACTGAGAATACGAAGGAGGTGCCAGAGGCGTCATCCGCTAGCATTAAGACGTGTGAGGATTCCCCTGACAGCAGCCAGGCCTCCACCTCGCGGGAAAGCTCTAACAAAACGCCAACACTAAGCCATAGTGTAAGGAGTGATCAGGATCCTCGTGCCGGCTCTCACACACACGCTCACGGTAAAAACAGGGAGAGATAAAATTTACATGATCTATGATTTTACGGAAAACATGATCGGATGGTGTTGCAAATATTTTTATACATGTAAAGCATTACAAAGATTTATGAAAATAACTAGAAAGAAATGGAGGCAAGTGTATATTGCTTACGAAAAGCTTCTTACGAAGAACTGCTTTAGCGCAGTTTGCCCATAAACAACAAATGCTTCTATCACTGTCATATATATATATATATATATATATATATATATATATATATATATATATATATATATATATATATATACGTATACATATTTACTTGAATCAAGAATTTCTGACTGTGATATATGACTGTTTAGCTTTTAATTAGTCGGAATATTAGGTGTAGAATCCCATTTCTTTAATATTTACCTTTTGTATACTACTGCGTGACTAGCAAAGTTGGCTTCGAATTGAATTTGCATTTCATAGTATACAATTAGCTCTGCATGATATAAATTTCTCCCTAACGCAAAGGTAATTTATAAAGCGTATATTTTCACCATGAATAGTCATTTATAAGATAACTTGTAGGTCATATATATTTTTCGTGTAAGTAGAAAAAAAGATTTGTCAGTATCAAATGCTATATAATATATAAAAGTTTTCACAAGAAGTGAGGATATCATAAATTATTTTCCTTGTCCTGGTTCAGGACAATACTGTGCAACAATGAGCATATTTTTTAAGTTATTGTATAATTAAATATTTTGCAACTTATAAATGCATATATGCATATATGTATATATATATATATATATATATATATATATATATATATATATATATATATATTATATATATATATATATATATAATGTCTCATTCCACAGCAGGATTCGAACCTGTAAACTCGGCATGAGAGTACACAGTACTGTATCCACACAGCTAGACTCTGGAGTCTATGTAGATAAAGTACTGAGTACTCTGATGCCGAGTTTACAGGTTCGAATCCTGCTGTGGACTGAGATAATGTGTGTAAATAATTTCTCCCGTCTGCGAATTCCTAAGCATGTACAATATATGTGTAATATATATATATATATATATATATATATATATATATATATATATATATATATATATATATATATATATATATATATATATATATATATATATAATATATATATATCGTGCCTAATAGGTAAAACTTGCGATTAAATAGCAACGCTCTTCTTGCCCAATAAAGCAAACGAAAATTTGTGTATGCAATAATTTCGCAAAATTCATTCTGAAACTAACGAAAAAAATATTTCATTGCGTTTGTTTATTATTAAATTATTGCAAACTTAATTAAAACATATTTAGTTGGATTAGGCTATATTAAAATGCGCTTGTTATAATAAGGTAAGTTTTCTTAGGTTCTTTTGGTACAAAATTTTTAATATTTACATTAACATAAATGAAAAAAAAATATGTCTTTAAATGTATAAGAGATAATTTAAGAAAGGACCTAACTTTAAATGAGTTCTTGCTAATTGACCAATTTTACCTATATGGCACTACAGATATATATATATATATTATATATATATATATATATATATATATATATATATATATATATATATATATATATATATATATATATATATATATATACACATATTCTTTTTAAGCGTTCTTGAAATGCGTGTAATTAACAGAAAATACGTGTATATAGCAATATGTTTGGTGTAACTTTTTACTGTATATGTGATTAATTTCTCTATTTTATGAACTATATTCGATCATCTCGAGAGGTAAGTGAGAATGTACCTTGTAAAGTTTTCCGCCCACTGTTTTATTTCGAATGGAAAGAAATTGCAAATCTTCTATCGGTGAGATACTGCTTTACAGCAACATTGACACGGGTAATGATGAAGTAGACTTTGTAATAGATAAATTATATTTATGGCTTTATTCACTGGGAAGCGTTGAATCCATAGAGGGTCACACAGCTTTTAGGAAATAGATCATAATCAAATTTGATCCACTCACTAGTATGACTGGATCAATATCTTCTACAAATCGACACCATGCCTAACCCTTCTAGAGTAGGGTAGGTGCCTGAGCCCGAGCCTTTAGCTCATAAGACTGTCATTCCCATTAGCCCCCTTGGGGCGGGGATGGCAGACCAGAGAGGCCTAGCTTGTGGCTAGGCCTGGGGACAGTTGGTCCTAAAGATGAGGAGGTACTTGTGCCTCCTCCCATGGGAGACTTAGGTCTCAGACACTCCCTAAAGAGGGAGCCAAGGCCGGGCCACCACTTGGACAAGACCCGGGCCGGGAGAATACCGGCTAATCTTTAACTAACTATCTTCTACAATCTCCTAACTGAGATTTTTTTTTTTTTTAACTATATTGTACATTAATCTATGATGAGTTAGATCAAAAGAGGTGGAAACAAAGTATTCAGATTTACTCGACTTCTTTGAAAATATAGAACATCTATAAGATTTAAGACAGCTCTTATAATTATGTGATTTGTTATTACATCATCAGAAGGTGGTTAGAATGTACGGTATTTACTTGTTTTGTTGCTAAGAGAAGCTTACAGATTTAGGGTGAATTTTCTTGCTTATCCTTGAAATATATTGCGAAGAACAACACAGAATATGTTATTGATGAAAGTCAAGGGTGGATAAAGTTTATTACATAATTTTGCTGCATCCATCAGTGAAGTGTATGAGGGGTGACTAAATTCGATTTCTACAGAGTTGTTACATCTTTCAACTCTAGATGAATTTTCCCAGTTTGATGGGAAAACCTCTGAGGGAAAGACATGGTATTAGACTCATGCATACTTCTAACGCGATATTTGTGTTTTATTATTAATGGGAAATACTTGCAAGTTGTTTATGATTAAACAAGTTTAAAAATTCTACATGGTATACTGTAGATTATACCTCTATCTAATCTTGGGATTTTTTCACGTTCGCCATATTAACATTCATATGGCCATAATGTTTAAGCCGGGGATATTTTTTTTAATTGGTTTACTCTAGGTTTACTAGAGGTTTACATATTTTAAGCCATCTTTAAAAAAAATCTTATTTAAGTTTCTTATATAAATCAAAAGGTATATTCACCCTTGATTCCATCGTAATTAACATGTTCCTTGATGACGTCAGTAACAGGCTTTAGAAATTAATAAGGAACAACCAATATTAAACCTTAATTACTTCATGTCAGTTCGTGTCGCCTGTAATCATCTCATGTCACCTACATTTTTAAACATCTCGCAATATTTGCTTTTGCATGTTTCTTCAGTGCTAATTTTCGTAATTCCATCAGATGTGTGTGTGTGTGTGTGTGTGTGTGTGTGTGTGTGTGTGTGTGTGTGTGTGTGTCTGTGTGTGTCTGTGTGTGTGTATGTGTGTGTGTGTCTGTGTGTGTGTCGTGCCGAGTAGGTAAGACTTGCGATTTTGGCTTAAATAGCAAAGTTGTTCTTGTCGAATAAGGCAAGCAAAAATTTGTGTATGCAGTAATTTCGCAAAAATCATTCTGAACCTAACGACAAAAATATATTTCATTGTGTTTGTTTATTATTAAATTATTGTAAACTTATCTAAAATGTATTTAGTTGGATTAGGCTAAATTAAATTGCGCTTGTTATAATATGGTTAGGTAAGTTTTCTAAGGTTCTTTTGGTAGAAAATTATTAATATTTACATTAACATAAATGAAAAAAATATATCTTTGAACGAATAAAAACAATTCTAAAAAGTACTTAATTCTAAATGAGTTCTTGCTAAATGATCAATTTTACCTATTCGGCACCAATCTTGACCCTAAGATGTTCTGGGAGAATCGCTGCTACAAGTCCACTTGATGCAACGCATGAGGGCAGGAAAGCAGGAAACGCAATCTGTGATGACTTGCGGACACCAATGCCTCCTACTCTGACTGGAAGTGTAGCTTGGTCCCACTTCCTATCTTCTACAGTAAGGATAATTACTTTCGTAAAAGTCTGCCTCAGGATATTGTCATATTCTTGCAGTATAGGGTTACCATATGAAGTTGCACAACTTAGGAAAGTCCTTTCTACCTGCTAGTGTGCCATCATCCAGGAACCAGATGTTTAGCTCAATGGTCAGTCTGACTGTGATTTCCCTAACCACTATAAAGAAGAGAAATGGAGCGAGAGGATCCCCTTGCTGGACACCCTCTGATGATGTAATTTCATGCTCTACAAACTGGAGCATTGATTCCTTGCTATATCCAGCTGAAAAAAAAGGGGAGAGATCAAGGATATATTCTTGTACAGCTGTTAATACCACGTCTCTTGTCAGGAGACTAAATGCTTTCTTGAAATCTAATTTTACCACTGCATTGTCCTCAGGCAGGTTGTTGATATACGCCCTTGTTGCATGAACCGCTGCTTCACTTCCTTGAGAGACCCCAAAGTCAAGCTGGTTTGGTTGAAGCATCATGGCTGCCTGTGCACGAATACTTCGGACAGCAACTTTGGAAACGAGGCAGCGAAAAGTGTTGCCCACAGTAATTGGCCTAATTCCTCCATCCTTCTTTTCAAGGGCACAAAGTGATGTACCAGAAAAAGAAAGGTTTAATTTCGTTAGGAATCGGACAAGCCAAGGAATTGTTGACGAACCTTGTGATCTCTGAAAGCCGTCTCTGCAATCTCCCCGATAACTGGAGTATTCATTTCCTTTAAATGCTGTGGCCTTATTCCCGTGTAGCTCCCAGCAGAGCCAGACGGGAACGACATTATTTCTTTGCATATGTCTGATTCTTGCACAATCAATGGTTCCACAGTGGAATTGTTGGTGCCCCTGGTTTCCTTGGCAGAGTGCTTTCCTCTAAGTGCTTCTGTCGTGTCAGCATCACTGGGGGCAATTGTATCTTCACTTGTGGTAATTCTGATTGCCCCCACTGTGTTGCTCACCTGGACTCTGATTTTTTCACTGTCAGTGGAGTGAGTAGGGGTTCTGCCTCTCCCGTTTTCGTGTTGACGGGGAAGGCAAATGAGGTTATCAGCTCTAGGAAAGTCTCTTAAGGATTTAATGATTATTGACACTAGCCTCTTTCCCCTTCATTCCGGCACAGCTAAGCAGACATTGCAAAAAAAGTAGCAAATTGTGCCATGCCTTGATGGTTGGTGGAG